TTTGACAATGAAATTATGTCCACCGTATGTACTCAGCATTTTTACACTCTCCCCCTAGTTTCTTTTCTTATTCTTTTTCTTTGTAAAGACATAACTATTTAGTAGTTCTACTCCATATTGCGAATGCAAAAGAGGCTCAAATGGTCGGCTAAATTGGCCGTCGTCGTAGACGTGTCTTGATATCTTGAGAGGGTTAAATCAAGAGCTTATTTACTAGGAGAAAGCAACTTTGCAGTATTTATGATGCAGCCTTTTTACAGATGTTTATTTTTGGATTATTTTCCAATATGTCATATACTTGATTTAAAAATCCGCTGGTATACGGTACATACCCCAAAACCTTGGCCAACCCTACTTAGTCCTGGAAATCAGCAAAGTAATATAACAATTAAGCCTATATATACGGTTCTTACAGGCAAAATATGAACTGTGGGAAGTTACTCTACACTATGCATTATGGGCTGCTGGAAAAATGTAAACAAAGCTGCTATTGAAACAATCACTTTTTAATGCAATTTTCTATGTTGCATGTACATGTAATAACTTCTACTCAAAAGAAAACAGCAACTGATCAGTCTCTCATTGAAATATTTTCATTAATTATCAGGCAAACAAGAATCAAACAACAACATGGGACAACTAAGATCAGTGGAGGAGTCAGATATACCGGTACTTTATTTATTGAGATTCAATCAAATTAATTGAAAAGGTGTCTTTCAAAAATTTGCTCGATATATACTAAGAATTTTGGCGGGAAAATTGGAAAAACTTTGCACTGCGCGTCCCCTGACAACTTTTTTGACAAACATTTTACGAAGGTACCCCCTTGAATTTTTCCGCCACAAAAGATTCAACATATACCATCTTGTACACAAATGAACGAAACATTTTGACTCCAATCATTCGAGGTTTTCAAAAAACTAAGATTTTGAATCCAGTAAATATTTGTTTCTGTTCAAGATGATATATACCATGATGATTTCTTATGAAATAGTCAGCCGTAAAACGACGAGCAGCTAGAAACCTATTTAAAGAGATGAGAAGAGCAAGTTAAAAGCTCTACAACTGCAATGTTTCTACCCAACATTGAGAAGAAGAAAACATTTGTAAATCAAACTATTTACTCCGCTATATATGATATTTCAAAAGATACAATCTTTTAGTTAAAAAATCTCTCAAATCTTGATTTTGCAGTCTCGTTTCAATGTCCGCATTGGCAAAATTGTCAATGATCCCATCATTTTAAAGCTGCACGATGTAAATCCTGTACAACTAGGTCAATTTATGTACTCTTCTCAAACCATACCCTTCTATCAAAGTTAGCTGACAAATTTGCTTTGCACTGCTAGCTGGGTGTTCCATACACGTTATACAAGAAATCCCGATTCCTGACATTAATCCTATGAGAACTAATATTAATTATAGACCCTTCTGTGCTTATCTGGAGAATCGAACATAGCTGAAGTGTTTAAATGACTACATTCCCACCCTCTTGCCACCAGTCAGTCTATCTTCAAAGTGGGTGTTTCTCTATCTGAGTCTCCCTGCCCCCGACCCAACTTGATAGGTCAGTTCTGAACAGTTTACTTCTATTTATGATTGTCCACCTTACTCTTCAAGGCCACCCTCACGAAAGGATTAACATGCTTTCTGCAAGAATAGAGTGATAACGCAAAAGCAATTACCGCTATGTGTGGAACAATGATAATTGCGGCCACTAGCAATGCGTGTACATAAATTATGTACACACATATGTAGCGGCGAGTAATTTAAATATTTCCACACAAAATATTCCAACCAATATCACCATAAGGAGTTTACAATTATCCCTTTAAGTTTGGTTTCGACATTGTAATAGCTTAAGGGATTCTTTCCTCATCGTTCTGTTCGTGACGCCATATATCACTGGGTTGATCCAAGAACTGAAGAAAGCGAACAGTGTGGCATAGGGCACCCAATATGAAGGTATAGGCCAATGTGCATATGCATTAAGAATCCGCACAACTGTTAGAGGAATCCAGCAAACGTCAAATCCCACAACTGTGGTCAGAAGAACCCGAGATGCCTGAATCTCGTGTGGGCTTACTACTACTTGACTGGTGATGTCCTGTAGAGAAGGATTGACTACAGAATTGTGCCGCTTTATGGTACGATACACGCTTCCGAAACAAAATATGATTAAAGACATTGCAAGGCTGACAAATCCAACTATACCTTTGGAAATGCCAGCTCGGATTTCCAACCCTGTTGCTTCACAAACTAAATCAAGCGGATACCACTGGAATAAAATCGGCGTGGCAAGTGTGGAAGTAAGGTTTGCTTTGAGTGTCAGCAACAAAACCAAAGGGATCGAAAAAAGCGTTTTCTTCCTTGTGAACAGTGTAGGATAAAGATGAGGTTTTGCGATACAAATGTAACGATTAACAGCAGTCAACGCCAAAATATTTATTGACGTTGCACCCCAAAAATAAGTAGCGACACCGCTAAATTGGCAAAAGGCGAAATTGAACGGCCATGCTCGATAACCAGATGCGACTGCGGAAAAAGGAAGTACAAAAGTGGATGCCATTATATCAGCTATTGCCAAGGACAACACGTAGATATTTGTAACAGTTCGCAGTCTCCTGTTTTGGTATAAAGCGAGACAGACGAGCGAGTTTCCCATGAGTGAAAAAATGGCAGATAGAGTCAAAATTACACTGTGTATGGCAACTGCTGGTAAACTTCTTGTATCTTCTTCTGGTAGAGTCATCAGTACAGTTGTAGAAGTATAAATTAAATTCCCTTAACTTCCTTTCTACAAGACAAAAAAACAAGAAAGATAATTGAAATTTCCTTTTATTGCATCAGCTGCAGGCCTTAGACAGCTACATGTCCCACACGTCTTTTTCATAGACATTTAATTATCAAGTCCTTGTGAAAACTGGACACGTATCAAGAAAAGTGGGTCCATTTGGCTAACAAAAGGCTTTGTTTTACAGCCCAAAATCAACCTAATATGGCCATTTTTGAGCAATGGCGGCGGCAGCTTGAAAATGCTCAAGGGACTTTCAATGTGGTTATATATTTCTACCAGGTTTTAGGACAATTCGAACACCGCGCATAAACTTGAAGCAAATACATGGATTCACTATGCAATGACA